TGTATGCAAGGCAAACACTTTACCTGCTGTGCTATTGCCCTATCCCCATACTTGATTTTTTTCACAGGATGGGTTGGCGGCAGGGAGGAGGGGGTGGGCTACACCCAGCAATGCTCAGGGGCTCTTCCTGGCTCTGTGCTCAGGAGTGACCATGGCTGTATGGGCATCTTGAACTGTCTCTACTTCTTGGGTCCATACTTTTTTTTTTTTGGTTTGCTTTTGGGTCACACCTGGTGATGCACAGGGTTTACTCCTGGCTCTGAACTCAGGAATTACTCCTGGAGGTGCTCAGGGGACCATATGGGATGCTGGGAATCGAACCCTGGTCAGCCGGTGCAAGGCAAACACCCTGCCTGCTTTGCTAGCGCTCCAGCCCCGGGTCCATACTTCTGGATCATAGATTAGGTAAATCTATAAAGTGGCTTTATCTTTATTAGGCGATAAAGATACAAACTTTATTTAGCTTTATTAGGTGATTTTATCGTTCCTCACTTCTACCAGCAGATAAATAGAAGTAGAAGATGGTGGTTCCACGTTCTTAGTCAATGTTTTAAATATCTTCAGTTCAGCACTTCTAGTGGGCGTAAAGGGTTTTCATTTCTCTGATCACTGAGGACACTAAGGATTTCCTGAAAGCCCAGTCAGTTAGGAACAAAAGCCTGTACTGTGACCGAGTCACGTGACTGTCCCGAGGGAGGAATTCGAGAGAAACTGTATCCTGCTCTCTCAGGGTTGGTGAGGTTTGGAAGGGTTCTTCCCACTGAAGATTTGGAGGCCACTGGGCCGGAGAGATCCTGTCAGGGTCAGGGTGCTTGCCGTGCCTGAGGCTGCCCCTGCTTTGATCCCACACCACCTCATGGTCCCCCCAGCACAGAGCCTACAGTGATCCCCTGAGCCCAGAGCCGGGAGTAGCCTCAAGCACTGCCAGGTGTGACCCAAAAATACCACAAGAAGAAATTTGAGGACAGTCTGTGAGAAACAGGGTGCTGTTTCTGGGACGTGCGGCTGTTCCTGCTGGTTGCTGAGGCAAGATCAGGAGGGATGGGACTGGGCAACTCACTCCACAGGCAGCCTCAGGAACAGATGAAACCCAGAAGCCTACGTGGGGCATCTTAGGGAAGGACGCTCAGAGGGGAGGTGCTGATGCAAGTTTACAGCTGATGTCTCACCTTAGGACAAGCAGTGTCTCCTTGTCACTGGCTTTATCTGTCCTCATCTGAGCTTCTCTGAATGCCAGACAGATTTGGAATCTTTCAACCTTTATTATGATATATATATATATATATATATATATATATATATATATGCGCGTTGTTCTTGGGGATTGGGGTGAATATTTCACCCTTTATTGTGTGACTATTATGTATCATTCCCCGGTACTACATATGGCCCCTGAACCTGCCAGGAGTCAATACTGGTCTACACTCATGTTGCTTAGCGCTTACTCTTGGCTCTGCTCTCAGGAATCATATCTTTATTAGGCGATAAAGATACAAACTATTTATTTAGCTTTATTAGGTGATTTTATCGTTCCTCACTTCTACCAGCAGATAAATAGAAGTAGAAGTAGAAGTAGAAGATGGTGGTTCCACGTTCTTAGTCAATGTTTTGTTTTAAGTATCTTCAGTTCAGCACTTCTACTGGGCGGTGGTGCACAGGAAATCATATGGGATACCAGGGATCAAACCCAGGTCAGCCGCCTGTAAGGCAAGTACCTTACCTGGTGTACTATCTCTCCAGTCCTCTTAGCAGTACTTTTTTTTTAATTGATAGCAAAATAAGTTACATTGAAATGAACTAATTGTATTTTTTTTAATTTTTATTACTGAGACATCATGAGGTATAGTTGTATTTTTGATGAGCCGAATTTAATATTATTTTTTAATTAATGATTTTTGGGTCCTCTCTAAGAAGTATTTGCTTATTCTAAGATCTCAACTTATGTCTTCTCTGCAAACTTACAGTTTTGTTGTTGTTGGATTTTTTCATTTTTGGTTTGTTTTTTTGGGTCACACCCTGCATGCTCAGGGCTTACTCCTGGCTCTGTGCTCAGTGATTACTCCTAGGAGGCTTGGGGAGCTGTGAATCAAACCTGATTGGCCGCATGCAATGCTCATTCTCTACCTGATGTATTATCTCTCTGGCCCCATTCCTTTATTATTTAAATTTTTTAATTTTAGGGGCTGGGGAGATAATGGAGCCAGTAGAGCACTTGCTCTGCACATAGCCAACCAGAGTTTGATCCCAGTTTCCCATATGGTCTTTCAAGCACTGCCAGGAATAATTCCAGAGTACACAGCCAGGAGTAACACCTGAGCATCACCGGGTCTGGCCTAAAAACAAACAAAATTTTTTAACTTAAAAAATGTAAATTGAATAGTGTTTTTAACATGAATAATAGGGTCTGTATTCCGCACCTTCTCCCCAGTCTTTTTGCTCTGTATAGGATCTCGAATAAAGGGTTGTGGGCTGGAGAGGCAATCCAGTGAATAAGGCATTTTCCTTGCATGTGGCCAACCTGGGCTCAGTCCCTGGCACCCTGTATGGTCCCCTGAGCATTGCCAAGAGTGATCTCTGAGGAACTGGAGTGATAGTACCTCAGGTAAGGCACTTGCCTTGCATGGGTTCTATCCCTGGCATCCCAATGGTACCCTGAGCACCTCCAGGGGTGATCCTTGAACACAGAGCCTGGAGTAAGCCCCAAGCACCACTGGGAATGACCCAGAAACGGAAGAAAATCCACTGAAGAGTTGAATAGAAGTGATGATATGGCTTATACTTGTCTTAGTCTTTTTTCCACTTTTGGAAAGGTTCGTGTTTCATCATTAAGTACGTTTTATTTTCATACATGCTGTTTTTTTCAATTGAGACAGTTTCCTTCCTATTCTTAGTTTTCACCCTTCCCTTCCCTTTGATGCTGCTCTTGTTGAAGTGACCAGGCTGTCACACTTTGGTGGTTGTGGTGCTTGCTGGGACACACGTCTGGTTGACAGATCTTGCTCTCCTGGCTGGGGGTCACGTTCGTTCATTGTGGTGCTTGCTGGCTGTAGCGCTCTGGGGCTTGCAGCTTCACTGGGCAGCTCACGTGTACCTGGCTCGGTGCTCACACTCCGTTACTACAGAGTTGCTGGGACCACGCGTGGCACATGGCATCAAAGCCTTGGCCTCTTGGCTTGCAAGATAGCACTTCAGCCACCGAGTCATTCCAGGCCCTGCTGAGAGTTTTCGTTCTGAATGGTGGTTGAATTTTACCAAATACTTTCCTCGCATTTATTGAGATGATGAGTGGTTTGCCTGATTTTCCAATATGCAGTCATCCTTTTCTCCCTGAAATAAATCCCAGTTGTTTTATCCTTTTAATATGTTACTGATTTTCACTGTTTTTGTTTTGTTTTGTGGCCACACCTGGCAAGGCCCAAGAGTTACTCCTGGCTCTGCACTCAGGAATTACTTCTGGTGGTGCTCTGGGGACTATATGGGATGCTGGGGATTGAACCAGAATAGGCTGAGTGCAACAGCAAATACCCTACCCACTGGTCTATAGCCCTGCCCCTAATTTTTCGTTTGTTTGTTTGTTTTGATACAATGTTTTCACATGAGCAGGAGAGAGAGTTCAACAGGCCTCATGCATGCATGCATTTCCACTTTTGGAAAGGTTCGTGTTTCATCATTAAGTATGTTTTATTTTCATACATGCTGTGTTTTTTCAAGTGAGACAGTTTCCTTCCTATTCTTAGTTTTAACCCTTCCCTTCCCTTTGATGCTGCTCTTGTTGAAGTGATCAGGTTCAAACCCTGGCACTGCATGGTCTGGGAGAGATTCTATAGGGGTTAAGCGCTTGCCTTGCATGTAGTTGACACTAGTTTGATCCCCAGGACCACATCTATTCCCAGAGCATCAGTAGGAGTGATCCATGAGCACAGAGCCTGGAAAAAAGTCCTGAGCACTGCTTGGTTTACAAAACAAAACAACAATAAACAAAAACCCCCAAACTTTTTCATATTGGGGCCATAAACTTGCACAGCAGGCATTCTAAGCACCTGCTCTGTTCTCCCAAGCCCAGAGCTGTTTTTTTTTTTGTTTTTTTTTAAATTTAATTAATTAATTTATTTATTGAATCACTGTGGGAAAGGTTACAAAGCTTTCAGGTTTAGGTCTCAGTCATGCAAATATCAAGCACATTTCCCTTTACCAATACTTATTTTTTACCATGAAGAACCCCAATAAAACCCCACCCCCCACCCCTCCCAGTCCCTGTGAGGCAGATGAATTCTAGTTAACACTCTATCTGCTTTGATTAGATTCATTGTTTCAATAAAAGATTCACCACTATTATTTAGAGTTTACCCCCCCCCCCAATCAGACATGCTGAAAAAGCATTGTGAAGTGATTTGCTTTCTACAGCTGGGTTCAAGAATTAAATGTTGGTTTTGGATTTCTGCTATTTTACTTATTGACCCTGGAAGTATTTCTACTGAAAGTCAGATAGTTAAGAAATTGGTTTCTGTGCTCTGGAGTCGTGGCCGTGCTGGAGAGCCGCTAGTGGGGGGCAACTGGTGGCCTTGGTAGGGCGTGAAGGGCGGACCGAAACGCCCCCCTTCCCATGAGGTTTTAGTCATCCCCACACCCCCAGCTCATACCTGCTGTCCACGAGGCTCCCATGCAGCCACCATCTTTCTTTCCAGAGAGGAGAGGGCGACTGGGGCAACACCCTTTCCCCTCCGGACAGACATGATGGCGTGGATTAACGCATAGTCCGTACACTTTTCTGCTCCAAGCTGCCAGGTTCTGCATTAAGTCCTTGTGCTTCTGGGGCCATGGCTGTGCTGGAGAGCCGCTCGTGGGGGGGGGGGGGCAACTGGTGACCTCGGTAGGGCGTGAAGGACGGACTGGAACGCCCCCCTTCCCATGAGGTTTTAGTCGCCCCCACACCCCCAGCTCATACCTGCTGTCCTAGCTGTCCTTTTTATGGGCTATTTCCTTGTATTTTTTTTTTTTAGGAAGACAGTAAAGAAGCGAGTGTTTACTAGTTGGTATCAGAAGATGTTTCAGCATCAAGAAAACCGTTTGACAGAGAGAATGGTAAGTAAATTTCCTAAGTAAGGTACTTAGGACAGTGGTCCCTGTCGCAGATCTATGCACTTCCTGTCTTTCCTCCTCATGGTGCCACCTAGAACCTAGACTCACAGCCGGTGGTGCTCAGGATTTGTTTCTGGCTCTGTACTCAGGGATCACTGCTGGCAGGCTCTGGGGACCATATGGGGCCCCCAGGATCCAACCCGGGTTCTGTGTGCAAAGCAGTTTCTCTCCTTAATGTCCTATCACTCCCGCCCCTGTTTTCTTCCCCTTATCCTGCTGGAGGCCATCCTTCATGCAGAGCGGCAGCTTCTCCAAAGGTCCTGGTGCATGTGGCACCAGCAGACAGTGGCACGACAGTGGCAAGCTGTGGCCTGCACCCATCACTGCCGCGGGCAGCTCAGGAAGGCTTTCAGCATCTGGACAGAGAGTGCCCGAGGGCTCAGCACAGAGTGAGTGGCTGGTTCTGCCTTGGGAGCTTTTTCCTTCTCTAAATTGCAATGACCCAAATAATAGCTGCATGAGCAAGTACCTTTCTGGAGGGCCATTCTGGCTAAGACTCTAGTTTGAAGTTGCAGAAATTCAGCCCGAAACAGTCTCCACAAAATCAGGGCTGCTGGATCCTGGGCGTCCTGGGGACAGACATGCTCTGTGGGCAGAGATCCTGTCATCGACCATATCCTGCACACTGGTCGGGAACCAGTTGGAGTTACGGGGTCAGGGGCTGGTGGTGGCAGTTCTTAATCACATCACATGGTTGGGGATGGTGGGTCAGGGAAGACAGTCTCTGTAGATATGACCCTGCTTTGGCGTCATTCTGTATCCTGTAGCTATGCCCCATGCACCTCCCAACCCGACAAGTTCTTTTTAAGCTCCTCAAGCACATGCCTAGACCTCGCTGGTACATGAGGCCTATTAAGTTGTTTGCAAACAGCTAATGACCTGGGTGCTCTTCTGCGGGGGAACCATATGGTAGCTCTCCAGAGAGGGACCGACTCCCCTTGGTTTGAGAATCACTGGGAAGAGCTGTAAAGAAAGACCCATGGAGACAGAGGGAGGTGGGCTCTGGCTGTCTCCACAGGAAGATGGGCTGCATGCTGGCTGCGGAATTCCACTCAGCACGACTCATCCATTGGGCCTGGAACAGATGGAGGGAGGTAAGGCCTGGAATGGGCACCACCTGCCCGTGGCATGCAGCCAGGGGGAGCTGTGTGCCAACATGACTCAGAGCACAGATGGGGCCTGCGCAGCCCCCTGGAAGCCACCACCTGCCTGCCCCGTAGGTAGGGAGAGGCCAGATGCAGCATACGGAAGTGCTGATCGAGCCTGGGAGTCCCTTGTTAGGTGCTGGTCTGTTCTTACCCGAACCTGATCTCTAATTCCTGGCCGGTGGGGCCAGAAAGATGGCCCAGTGGGCTGAGCACATGCTTTGCATGCAGGAGGCCTGGGCTCAGTCTCTGGAACACCTCGAGGGGTGGCCCTCAAACCCAGAAACTAAGTTAATTAAATAAAATTCCTGATGTAACTATGTGTAGGAGCCTGTAAAGATGTTGAAGCCCCCGACCCCCACCAAAAAAAAAAGTTCAGAAGATAGTCTGATGCTGAGGCCGGGGCTCAATTCCTGGTACTGCCAAGAGCCATCCCTGAGCAGGGCCAGGAGTAGCCCCCAGGTGCCAGGAGTAGCCTCCAGGCATGACCCCCAAACACAAGATGTTGTTTTTCTTTCTAATATAACATTGCTCATTGCTGTGCTGGAGCGATAGTTCACACTTGCCTTGTATGTGGATGGCCTGTGTTTGATGCCAGGCATCCCAGCATCGCCAGGGATGATTCCTGAGTGCAGAGGCAGGAGTAACCCTGAGTATCACTGGGTATGCCCCCCAAAACACACAAAATAACCCCCCAAATAATAGAAATAGATCATTCGTCGTAAATTAGGCACTTGTTTCTCCTTCCTTCCTTCCTTCCTTCCTTCCTTCCTTCCTTCCTTCCTCCCTCCCTCCCTTCCTCTTGTCCGTCCCTCCCTCCCTCCCTCCCTCCCTTCCTTCCTTCCTTCCTTCCTTCCTCCCTCCCTTCCTCTTGTCCGTCCCTCCCTCCCTCCCTTCCTTCCTTCCTTCCTTCCTTCCTTCCTTCCTTCCTTCCTTCCTCCCTCCCTTCCTCTTGTCCGTCCCTCCCTCCCTCCCTCCCTTCCTTCCTTCCTTCCTTCCTTCCTCCCTTCCTTCCTTCCTCCCTCCCTCCCTTCCTCCTGTCCCTCCCTCCCTCCCTTCCTTCCTTCCTTCCTTCCTTCCTTCCTTCCTTCCTCCCATCCTCCCTCCCTCCCTTCCTCCTGTCCCTCCCTTCCTTCCTTCCTTCCTTCCTTCCTTCTTTCCTTCTTTCCTTCCATCCTCCCTTCCTCCCTCCCTCCCTCCCTTCCTTCCTTCCTTCCTTCCTTCCTTCCTTCCTTCCTTCCTTCCTTCCTTCCTCCCATCCTCCCTCCCTCCCTTCCTCCTGTCCCTCCCTTCCTTCCTTCCTTCCTTCCTTCCTTCTTTCCTTCTTTCCTTCCATCCTCCCTTCCTCCCTCCCTCCCTCCTGTCCCTCCCTCCCTCCCTCCCTCCCTCCCTCCCTCCCTCCCTCCCTTCCTTCCTCCCTTCCTTCCTTCCTTCTTTCCTTCCTTCCATCCTCCCTTTCTCCCTCCCTCCCTCCCTCCCTCCCTCCCTCCTTCCCTCCCTTCCTTCCTTCCTTCCTTCCTTCCTTCCTTCCTTCCTTCTTCCCAGCACTCCCTCCCTACCTCCTTTCCTCTCTCCCTCTGTCCTTTCTTCCTCTGTTCACACCCAGCAGTACTTAGGCGGGTTCAGTCCTGGCCTGATGCTCAGGGGTCATTCCTGGCAGTGCTGGGGCGGTGTGTAAGGCAGGCGCCCAGCCTGCTGTACTTTCTCTCTGTCTCTTTCTCCTTTTTGACCTTCACAAACTCCCTGAGAGGTACCTAGTCAGGAGCAGGGAAGCCGGGCCTCCCAGGTCCAGGACCTTTCCGAGCTCATCCAGAGAATAAGTGGAGGCCCAGTGGTCACTCCTCGTCCGTGACCTCCCGGTCCTGTGGCTGACCCTCTCCTCCATCCACAGTGCTTGGCCCTGCGGGGCACAGAGTGGCAGAAGCGGCTTCGAGCTGAGCTGCATTACCAACACGCCCTGCAGCGCAAGGCGCTCCACGCCTGGGGGGTAGGCAGTGTTGGGGGGCGGGGTGGGGGTGGGGTGCTAAGGGCTTGCTTTCCCCTCCTTCTTCTCCTGCCCCAAACCAAGCTGGCCCAAGCTCTGCTTCAGTGGGGCAAGCGCCCGGCCAGCACGGGAGGGCTTCGATCCTGCACCTCAAAATGAAGACATGTGGGGCTGGAGAGATAGCACAGTGGGTAGGGCATTTGCCTTGCATGCGACCGACCCGGGTTCGATTCCCAGCATCCCATATGGTCCCCTGAGCACCGCCAGGAGTAACTCCTGAGTGCAGGAGCCAGGAGGAACCCCTGTGCATCGCCGGGTGTGACCCAAAAAGCAAAAAAAAAAAAAAAAAAAAGGAAGACATGTACAGTCTGGGGGTGCCAGTGTCCCGATCAGAGTGGCCCTTTGTGGGCTCAGCCACCGCCAGACTCACTGTCCTCTCCCTCTTGTCGGGCTGCGCTCTCCTCACCCTCAGCGCCGGGGACCCCGGGCTTCTCCACCCCTGCTTGCGGGTGGGGCTGCGTGGGCCGAGGGTCTCCAGTCCTCCTATCTCTGCAGATCTACCAGCAGAGGCTGCAGCGCATCCTCTGGAAGGTGGCGGCCATCGAGCATCGGCGCGAGAGGCAGCTGCTGAGGTGAGTGTCCCCAGTGTCTCCCGGCCCCCAGTACCAGGTGGGCCCAAGAGCCCTTCGCGCTGCCTGCTGCCATGGCGGGGTTTGGGCTTTCCTGCGGCAGAAGGCGCTTCAGTCTGCAGTGGCCCCTTCAACTGCCCGCAGCCCTTGCTGAAGCGCTCACTGGTTCCAGCGAGACCCCGCTGCTGTCCCGTTGGGCCCTTCCCCTCCCTGCAGAGGCCTCTCCCACACCAAAAGCGATGTTTTTTGTTTGGTTTGGTCTCCTCTTCCTCCTCCTCCTCCTTCTCCTCCTCCTCCTCCTCCTCCTCCTCCTCTTCCTCCTCTTCCTCCTCCTCCTCCATCTCCTCCTCCTCCTCCTCGTTTTTCTCCTCCTCCTCCTCCTCCTTCCCCCTCCTCCCCTCTCCTCCCTCTCCCCCTCCCCCTCCCCCTCCCCCCTTCTTCTTCCTTCTTTTTCGTGTGTGTGTGTGTGTGTGTGTGTGTGTGTGTGTGTGTGTATGTGTATGTGTATGTATGTATTGGTACCAGGTGTTTGGGCATAAACCCTGAGCTTCCTCTCTCATTCCTTTGTGGACCTCAAACACTTCCAAGCCTGTTCAGGTTTCTGCGAAATGCTCATCCAGTCAGGGATGTGGCTCAGTGGTAGGACACAGGCCTTACATGCCTGAATTTCATCCCTGGAACACAAAAATTGTAAGGGGCCTGAAACATAGTCCAGTGGGCAGGGCACTTGCCTTGCAGGCAGCCAACCTGGGTTTAATCCCCAGCACCCCAAATGGTCTTCCAAGGCCCTCCAGGAGTGATCCCAGAGCAGAAGAGAGACCTGAACACTGAGTGTCCCCCCAAAAAAAATTGCAAGTGAAAAATAAATAGATGAAGTGCTCATCCAGCTCCCTGAATGAACGGCGGTGAGCGCTGTGCTGAGATCTGGCTGCTTCTCCTGCTTCTCTCTCTGGACTTTCTTATCTAGGTGGGGTCACCAATATCCCCGTGGCCTGTTATGGTTCTGTCTCCCCTGTAACATGTTGCCGCAAGCATAGGCAGAGGGGCCCCTGGTAATGAGTTTTCTCGTTTCTGGGTGGTACCCCATTTGATCCATCTCCAAAGAGCTCACTCTGCGTCTTTGAGGTGGGGTCTGGCTTCTGGGCAGTGTCAAGGCTGTTGACTAGGGAATTTGTTCAGACCACACTTTGGTTTTATTACTCCAATTTTGTTTTTTGTTTTGTTTTGTTTTTGTCTTTGAGTCATACCTGACTCTGCACTCAGGGATCACTCTTGCTGGTGATTCCGGGGGCCATATAGGATGCTGGAGGTTGAACCAGGGTCTGCTGCACGCAAGGCAAATGCCCTCCCCACTGTGCTATCACGCAAGCCCCTGGCTTTATTAATAGAGGGAAAACCCCTTCCTGGGCCCCCTCTGTCTGGTGGCTGGCAGTTATGTGAACACCTGTGGGTGCGGTGTTGGGTCCTGTTCGCTGCAGTATCCCGTGCGTTGCCCCAGTGACTGGCCAGAGCCGGCCCTCGGGAGCATGAACATGGCTGAATAAAAACAGCAGGAGCAGGGGTCCCTGATTCCGGCAAGTCCTGCTGGTGACTCAGGCTGTCTCCTCACGCTGGCGTCACCCTCACTCCTTGGCCCTTGTGTCTGCAGAGCCGTGTTACATCGCTGGAGAGAGAACACCCAGGCCCGCGTGGAAGAGGCAAGGAAGGCCTCCCGAGCCACAGCCCACTACGAAAGGGCTCTGTGTTCCAAGGTGAGGACCAGGGAAGGGTGACTAGCGCCACTCAGGGGTTGGGTACCAGGATCAGTTTTCCTTTAATACTTTATTTGAACACCATGGCTAGCAGTGCTGTTCATGATACAGGTGTTATGGGTTTTCACTGTTCCAACCCCAGTCCCAGCGACCCTCTCTCCACCATTGTCCCCATTTCCCCAACCACCCCGCGAGCCTGCCCCTTTAGCAGATACATAATAATTTGTTCTATGTTGCTTGTAACAACCAAATGGCCAAAGGAGCCGTCAAAAATATTTCAATAAGGTGCCAGAGTGATAGTGATAGTGATAGTACAGCGGGTAGGGTGTTTGCCTTGCACGTGGCCGACCCGGGTTCCATCCCCGGCATCCCATATGGTCCCCCACGCACTGCCAGAGTAATTCCTGAGTGCAGAGCCAGGAGTAACCCCTGAGCATTGCTGGGTGTGATCCACAAAGAAAAAACAAGGGGCTGGAGCAATAGCACAGTGGGTAGGCGTTTACCTTGCACGGGGCTGACCCGACTTCGATCCCCAGCATCCCATATGGTCCCCTGAGCACTGCCAGGAGTAATTCCTGAGTGCATGAGCCAGGAGTAACCCCTGTGCATTGCCGGGTGTGACCCAGAAAGAAAAAAAAATTTCAATAAAAGAAAATATGTGAAAATTGTTGTATCTCACTTAGGGGTTAAATTCTAGTCTAAGGATTTATTAAGCTGTTCGTTGCTTGTTGAGCCGTTTGTGTTGTTTCTGTTCACTGAGTTTCCCACCTGATTTGTTCTGCTCTTATGGAACTGCAGTACTGTGAGATTTGGAGGTGTCGCACAGCTGCTTATGCAGCCATACAGTCCAGAAACTTCGGGATCTGTAGAACTGGGATGAGTTGGCCTGGCAGAAGCTGGGGGCGGGGGAGGTGTGGGTATGGCTCCCAGTCGGGTTGGGGGGAGGCTGCCTGCCCTGACTCTGAGAAGACCCCAGAGTTCTCAGCCCAACTTCAGAGCCCCGGGGTTTTCATGTGGTTTGATATCTCGGCAGAGACTCTTAATGAAGCCATGGAGTGGGGCTCTTGGCGCGGCGGCAGCAGTGGTATATGGGTGTGGCTTCCAGGGCTCCAGCGGGATGGGGACTCAGCCTTCCCTCTCCCAAGGTGGGGACAGAGATTTGAACTGAACTAAGAACCGAGACAGGGAGAGGCTGGAGCGATATTACAGTGGGTAGGGCGTTTGCCTTGCACGCAGCCGACCCAGCATCCCATATGGTCCCCCGAGCCTGGCAGGAGTAATTTCCTGAGCACAAAGCCAGGAGTAACCCCAGAGCATCCCCATGCGGCCCAACAAAACAAAGCAAAAAAAGGAACCGAGATAAGGCAATGACTCTCCTCGAGTAGACTGACAGCCTTGGGAGCAGGATGGACAGGCAGTGGACAGACAGATGGTCAAGACACCAATGTCCATTAAAAGAAAAGCGGCACCCACTGAGCGAACAGGTTCTGCCGGAACCAGTATCAAGCTGACCGACAGAACTTTCCCACTGGACCCAACCTTGTAAGTCTCCATGCTTTTGCTTCCTCCTGTGTCAGAGGATTGATTGTTCCTGCTTGTCGGCCTCGCAGGTTTCATAACCACTGAAGCTCCTGGAAAGCATAGAGCATCCAGGAATGAGAAGTCACTCACCGGTCATCGTTTAGGGACAGGGTCCCAAAGTGTCATGGTGGTTGGGGGGAGGGACAGGGTGCAGCTCAGGGTTGAAAATGTATTATAGGAGGGGATTCAAACAGATGACAGGGCCAGGCATGGGACTCGGTAGACACACACTTCTCACATGAGACGTCCCAGGTCTGGCTCCAGCGCTCCAAACGCCACTTGAAATAACAGGAAATCCTCAAACTCAGGGCCGTTCCCAGAGAAGAGTTTGCCAGGAGCCCTGAGCAGCAGACCCAGCAGCTGGAGCGTGGTAGTGGTGGCTGCATGGCGGTAACCTGGGTAACCCAGTGGTGCTCACCAGCTGTGTGCTCAGGGGATCTCACAACAGTGCTCAGGGGTACTGTGGTGCTGGGAATTGAACCTGGGCGCCCTGCATGCTTTGTCGGGGCTAAGCCCATTGAACTTAGCACTGTCCGTGGCAGTAACTTTGCCTCTCCCCTCACATGGAATGATGATGTGTGATGGATCACATGTGGTTGGTTCCCAGGCCACCTCCCAGACTAGTTCGTGTGTGTCCCCACTAGAAGGAGGGTCAGGATTCTGCTTAGCTGCAGGGCTCAGGAGGAGGAGGAGGCGGCCTTTGGATGGGGGTGGGGGGGAGGTGGGAGTCTGTGATTGTTGGGGGGGCAGATCCAGGGCTCAGACTGGTTGACATCTTTGTGAAGCGTTTTGTTTCAGTAACTGCGCCTCATTCATGGAAGGGTGTGTTATGTGTGGCACTTGAAGGTAATACTGGAGTCAGGATTTGGGACTGGGGTTTGGGCCATACCCAGCAATGCTCAGTGGTTACTCCTGGCTCTACACTCAGGAATCACTCCTGGTGGTGCTCAGGGGACCGAACGGGATGATGGGAATCAAACACTGATTGGGCACGTGCAAGGTAATGGCCCTACCTGCTGTACTATCTCTGGCCCCTAGAATGTACAGGGATTAGGGCACTTGTGTTGCACATGGCCTGCCAGGTTTGATCCCCAGCACCCTATATGAGCACTGAGCACTGAGCACTCCTGGGTATGCTTCCCCATCACCTCCCCCTCAGAATGTCCTGAGATATTGGCCTTTCTGCGGGCGCGCTAGACGTCCTGGCCGTTTTCCTGTGGTCTGCGTGAAAACAGGAGCTTCCTAAAACAGGAGTCTAGCATGTGGTCTCATTCCATATGGAACTGGCCAGTGGACTGGAGTGTCCCCAGGATGTCACGGTGTGACCACCTCCCCGTTGTTTGTCTGACCTGTAGGTCCTGGTCCTGTGGCGGGAGGCCGTGTCCATACAGATATACAACCGCCAGCAGGAGGACTATGCCGTCAGGGAGGCCCAGAAGGTTCTGGAGAGGGGTAAGCTCAGCTCCCGGAAGCAAGTGCTGTGGAAGGGAGGATTGTGTAGGCCGCAGTCCCCGTGGGGTGGGAGGGTGGCTGGCTTCAGGGGCTCCTGCTGGGCGCTGCATGGGAGTGGACGCGGGCCCGGCAGTGAGGAATCCAGCGCAGCTTCTCCTTAGAATAAATGCCGACCCAAATGAAGCGAAGGGAAATGGTCAGGTCCACCCCTAGCTCCCCGTCACTCCAGGCCCAGGAGCAGAGGTGGGAGCTTGAAGTAACAGGTATACCAGCTGCTTCCCTGAGAGTCAGGGGGTGGCCAGCAGCCGAGGGGCGGCCCTGGGATCTTTCTGCATCACGAATAGACTTGGAGACCTTGCGACAGAGACACCATCCTCTACGCTGGACAGTAAATAGCTACAGCACTTAATTAAGGCCTGCAGCTATCAGGCACACCCTGACAATCAAAGGGTGGGTTTGGCTGGGGTGGGGGGTGGGGGAAGACCCGAGAGCCAGGGTCACCTTGATGGAGTGTTCCTGTGCAGATCAGACACTCCTGGTTTCTTCCTCTGGAGTAGGAAGTCACTGGGGCTGGAGAGATCGTACAGGGAATAAGCCACTCACGGGTGACCCGGTTCCATCCCTGGCACTACTTACGGTCACCCCAGCACCACCAGGACTCACCCTTAAGTAGTACCGGGTAGGGCACAAAATCAAAAAGAGTGTGTCTGGGGGTGGGGAGGGAGGGGGGGGAGGGGGTAAAGGGGACTCAGAGTCCCTGCCTCTTGGGATGGATGGGACTTTTGTCAGTGTACCCGGCACTGCCCAGAGAGTGGCAGCACTCCGGGCGGGGGGCAGCAGTGCCAGGACCTGCCCTGTTGGAGGCCTCAGCTCAACCCTCCTTTGATGATCCTCAGAGACGCTTCTCTCAGGCCCAAGAAAGAAGTCAAAAGGAAGTAACTCAGCAGAAGTGCTTCCTCTCTCAAGAGAATGCCGTGACACAAAGACAAAACATAGGGTGCAGGGGGGTGGGGAGGGGAGGAGAGGTAACGCGGGGTTGGACTGGGGTTTGCCAACTCCCGTTCCAGCTCCAGCAAGGCCCTGAGCTCAGAGCAGGGTGTCACACTTAGCATTCCCAAGTGAGGCCCAGAGAATAGCTTCTTCCCAAACCGTGGAGTGTGACCCCCCACCAGCAGGGTCTGGGACCCACAGAAGAGGATCTCTCCCCCTCCCAGCTGGGTTCCCCGTGAAAGGAGCAGCTGCCTCTTCTCTGGCCGACCCGGGGGTTTCTTGTCCCTGTGCCAGGAGGCGGTGTCCGATGGTGACTTCCAGGACAGGGTTTGGGGGGTGCACACTTGCGCTCACTCTGGGCAGTCCTGACCAAACCTTACCCAGCCAGTGCCCTCAGCAGGTGCCCCAGAGCTGCCCTCTAGGGTCCATGTGGGCTGTCCCCCCCCCCCCCCCCGCAACGCTTGGCTCCCCTCCGTGTGGTTCTGAAGGGTCCCTCACCCTGCAGACCGTCTCCAGGGCTGGCTGAGGCGCTGGCGGGCCCGGGCACAGCAGAGGCTGCAGCTGGCACGTGCGGAGCAGCATCAGCGACGGTGGGCACTGCAGCGGGCCCTGGCCGCGTGGAAGGCCCACCACCGCCACTGTGCCAGGAGGAAGGTGAGGCCGGCGGGAGCCCCGGGGCCTTCTCCCACAACCACGGCGGCTCCCCACCGCCTGCAGTCCCCCCTGGGTGAACGGTGGCTCAGAAATCTCGTCTCCACAAACCCTGGCTTGTGGAACCGGAGTGCCCAGGGTCCCCTCCTGCCTGGGCCAGTGGCCCCTGGCTTCAGTGAGACTTGGGGGGAGGAGGGGTCTGAGGGCGGTGCCCGCTGTGGCTGCCCCCAGGAGGGCGGGCGCGGGTGCCAGGCTGCCTTCAGCAGCTCCCCCCTCGCGGGTTCTCCCCAGCACCTACGGAGCCTGAGCACCCAGCTGCTGGCCCGGACGCTCAGCCGCACCTGCTTGCACCAATGGAGACAACAGGTGGGGGCCCCCAGACACCCCTGCTTCCTTCTCGCCCCTCCCCTGCCTCCTGCAGCCACACGCCTGGTTCCAGCTTCCACCCCAGCCCCCCATCATTTCCTGGCCCCGCCAGTGTCTTCCCGCCTGTGATCTGTATGAGGCCGTGTCTTTCTTTGGTTTTGGTTTGGGGGGCCACGCCCAGCTGGGGGCTGGCGGACCAGGGTGCGGGGTGAAGCTGGGACTCCTGAGCTGCGAATCCTGAGCAGGCGCCCAGACCAAGCCTGTTGCTAAGCGTCACTCAGGAATGCATCAGGATAACAGCCAGGACTGAGGTCATTGCCAAGGCCTCGCTGGCGTGCGGGTGGGACTGCAGCTCGGCCTGCGGCCTGTGTCCCTCTTGCTCCCGGAGTGTGACACCAGGTGGTGTGTGGCTTTGTCCCTGGAGCAGCCCGTGGCCCTGTGCCCGCCGCTCTCCCCCACACCTCAGCCTCATCAGATCAGGTCTTGATCCATCGGCCTGGGCTGGCAGTGGGGGTGCTGGGGTGGGGGCCTGGGAGGTGACCATCGGGTCCTCGCCCCGTCCTGACCCACAGTTGGCGGCCAGGAGGCGGGAGCAGCAGGGCACGACGCGGGCACTGTGGTTCTGGGCCTTCTCACTGCAGGCGAAGGTAAGCGGGGTTTGGCACTGCTGGGGCCGGCTGCTGGGGAGGGGGGTCTCGCCACCTGGGGGCCTTCTGGGCCTCACCTCCACCTCGCCCCGGAGGTGTGGGCCGCGTGGCTGGACTTTGTGATGGAGAGGAGGAGGAAGAAGGCACGGCTGGAGCGCGCAGCCCAGGTCTACCACCAGCAGCTGCTTCAGGAGGGGGTCCCGCGTCTCCTGCGCTTTGCCGCCGGGATGAAGGCTCAGCGGCAGCGGTTGCACGCCCAGCAGCAGGCCCAGGTGGGTCTGGAGTGCCCCGTGGTGCTGTGGGATGCGGGGGACCCTCACTCCCTCACCGAGTCGGTTGCAGGCGGCGCACAGTCTCCAGCGGGCGGTCCGGCGCTGCGCCATGGTCTGGAAGCACAAGGTGCTGGGTCGGCCACAGCCCCCCGCACCTGCCCTGCCCAGAAGAGTGACTTTCGAGGAAACCTCTCTCCACCCCCTCTCTGCTGGGGATGCTGCCACCTCGGAGACCAAGAGGCCACGAGCTCTCCAGGAGCCTTGGGGGACGCCTGGCAGCCTCAACCTGGCTGCCATGGACCCTCCGCATCTGGAGCTGTGAGTTGCCCGTCCCTGGCTTTTTCCTGCTCGTCCCCTTGTTGGCCTCTTCAAGAGGGTGATGCCTCCAGCAGGATCCTGGCCAGAGGCAGCCCAGCCTTGGCCCCTCCTGACCAGGCCCCTGGCCCTCTTTCTCCTCCCAGGATGGTCTCCTCTAAGCCTGCCTATCCCTCACTCTCTCATTCTGAGCCCCCAGAGCCATCAGCACGTGATGGGCAGGGATGCTGGGGGCCCGGAAGTCTGGGTAGAGGCCCGCCAGCCTTCCTGAGGAGCAGGCCTGCTTCTTTCCAGCAATGTTGCCCGCTCATCCAGGAAGCAGCCACGACGCCCACCCTTCTTGCTGGAGCCTGGGCAGAGCCAGAGGTCCTTGGGAAGCAGCATCCTCAGGGGACAGAGGTGGGTCAGGGGGCCCTGAGTGGGTGGTCCCATTTCCCTTCTTGCTTCTCAGATACTGTGGTCGGACCAACTCCTGCCTTGTCCTTCTTCAGGCCTGAGAAGCTTCAGGAGTGTGGCTTTGAACTGGCTAGGCCAGCGGGTTCTTCCCCGACCAGGCGCTTCCCGGCAAAGGCTCAGACACCACTGGTCACAGGCAGCCCGCAGTCCACAGCCTGCTCGACTTTCCGTGACCCACAGCTCGTTCCCGCAGCCAGTGGTGGCCTAGAGCTGCTGCCCCCTTCCTCCAGGCCAGGCAGGGCAGAAGCACCTGCCAGGGTAAGTCGTCTCAGGTCACCTGGGGCCCCGGGCACTCAGCGCAGCGGCTACAGCTGTCCCACCCGTTGCGGGAGCACTCCCAGCTCAGGAGCCCAACGAGGCCGCTCATTCACCCCACATGAGGAGGAGCTTGCTCAGGCTCTGGGACCAAGAGCCTGGCACAGGCCCTGCTCACGTAGCCGATTTTCAACTGGTAGAGAAAGGAAGTGACTGTAGATCACTGGCGGGTGTGTGTATGTGTGTGTGTGTCACCTGGTGTGTTTGGTGTGTGTCTGTCCCCTGGTGTGTTTGTGGTGCATGTGTTTTGTGTGTGTGGCTGTCCTATGGAGTGTGTTACCTGGTGTGTGTGTCTCCTGGTTTGTGTGTCTGTCTCCTGGGGTATGTTTTGTGTGTGTCTGTGTGTCCCCTGGAGTGATTGTGTCTGTGCCCTGGTGGCCTGCTGGACACGGAAGAGCAGGAGGTTGTGTAGCACAGGTGGTCACTGCGATTCCACCTACCAGGCAGGAGACTGTGGGCAGGACCCATTGTGGGAAATGACCAGGCAGGACTTCCTTCGGTGGGTTTGATGAAATGGGGAAGAAATAAGTCCAGGATGATTTTTAGAATTCTTGCTTGAGTAACTCAGTAATGAATTCGTTTACTGAAAGAGGGAAGATGGGGGATTGGAGGCGCTTTTGGGTGAAGCCTGAAGAGTTGGTCTTAAGTGTATCAACTGAGATAAAGCAGGACTGTGCGCTCCCTTCTGGGAAGAGGTGAGGGATGGGGCCACGGGCGGAGGGGCGTAGCTGAAGTGAATGAGAGCCCCTTAGAAACAGCTGATGGAAACCTGAAGGTGCTGAGGCCAAGTACGGGCCACCCCTAAGAGCTGGTACCTTGGTGGGCTGTCGCGGGAAGGGTAGGAAGGAGCCACTTCCTGAGAACATGACTGCTGGGCTCTGGCCACCAAATAGAAGGGCATTGGCTCAGCTCAGAGAACGTGTGCGAGCTTGTCGATTTGAGAAGAGGGGTACTAAGGTCAGTAACACTTTTTTGGTTGGTTTGGGTCATACCCAGCTGTGCTCAGGGCTCAGTGCTTACTCCTGGCTCTGTGCTCAGGGATCACAACTGGCAGTGCTCAGGGGACCGTATGGGGTGCTGGGGATTGAACTCGGGTCGACCATGTACAGACAGGAGGAGCCTTACCCTGTTTTTATCTCTGGCCCAAGGTCAGTTTACTTACAAGGTCAGGCCATTCTGCTCCAGGCCCTCGTGGAGAGCACTTGGAGGGGAGGGGGGAATGCCCTTTGGATTGGTCAGGGGTTTTTCTCCATCTGTGCTGGGGCTGGGGAGTAGGTGAGCAGGCACAGCAGGTGCCAGGAACCCCAGCCCTAGGTCTGGGGCCTTGCCTGGCCCCACCCAGTGCTTCCTCCAGGCTTCCCTGTTCAGCGTCCCCCACTTTCTTTACAGGAGTCGGCATGGCCAATCACCCCCGGACTTAGACCCCAGGCTCCCTCATCCCTGATGAGTGCTCCTGACCCCCACCTGCTCCTCCCTGGGGACTTCACAGGCACAAGCCTGGGGCCTGGCTCAGAAACTGTGGGGTTGTGTCTGGGGCCCGCGGGCACTGCCAGCAGATGGGCTTCACCCAGCCCCTGGGATGCCGCCATTCCGCCTGGGCTCGGACAGGACCGTCAGGCTCAACCTATTGCCATCAGCCATCCTGACCTGGAAGCTGAGCTAGAGGGCATCCACCAGCAGCTGCGGCACTGCCAGATCACAAAGCAGAACCTCTGGTAAGTCTGGCAAGGGCCTCTACCACGGTGCATTCCTGGGCTGGGGTCCTCCACTCACGAGTGGCTCCTGAGGCCGCTCAGGATGGCCCGGGTCATGGCCATTCCTGGGGACAACAACAGGGAGAATGCGCTGAGCTTTGTTTTGCTTTGGGGCCACACCCAGCGATGTTCAGGGGTTACTCTGGACTCTGCATGCAGAAAATACTCCCGGTGGTGCTTGGGGCACCATATGGGATGTCGGGGATAGAACCCGGGTTGGCCGTATGCAAGGCAAACACCCCACCAACCGTACTATGGCTCTGACCCAAGCTGAGCTTTTTAACTTAAGCAGAGCCTGACTGGATGCACATGAGAAGCCAAGCCAGGAGCCGGGAAGATTGTGCAAAGGGCTGGAGAGATGCAGGAGTCCTGGGTTCGATCTCGGCACTGCTGGGAGCGATCCCCTCCCCATTCCCACCCCCGAAAAATATGTTCAGGTCAGGGTTCTAGCAGCCGCAACTGACATAGGACGTGGGAGGTGTGGAGGGGACAGGAGTGGCCTCCGGTGCATGTATCAGCCATGGTGTCCTGCTGGTGGGCCAAGCCCGAGCACCTGTCCTACGCCCAGGGACGGGACCGTCCACATGCAGCGCAACTGCAAAGCATCACGGAAAGCGCTTCCGGAGCGCGTCTGCCCTGAGCCACTCTGCCCAGGGAGACAGGGACCTTCTCCCTCCCGTCTTGCCTGCTCAGGTCCTACCAAAGACAAGCGCGCAGCCTGCGCAAGTGGCTGCAGCTGAGCCAGGAGGAGCCCAGAGCTGAGGAGCAGGAAGCAGAGCAGCTGGTACAGAAAGAGCTACAGGAGGTGAGCGCCCCTCATCGGAGGAGGGGTGAGTGGGCAGGGCTCTGCTCCCCCAGCTCATCACCCCACCCCGCCCCCAGGTAGAGCTGCAGATCGAGCACCTGGCGGCGGAACTGCAGGCCCAGCGCCAGCCCATCCGCGCTTGCATTGTCCGGGTGCAGGCCCTGTGGCAGGCGCTGTGCTAGACATCACCCCGGAACAGAACACAAAGCTGTAATGAGGTTTTTTCTTTTATTTCAAAATGTTGCAATTAAATGAATCACTGTTCAGAAGTCTCCCACTTTTCGTACAAAAATACTGTGCTACTGATACAGTTGAAAAAGTTCAAATGGCTTCTCCTGCAGGAGAAATTCACAGCGTCCCCAGGAAGCATGAAATCTGGCCCTGTCCCCACAATCAGTAGCCCCCCAGGACTGCATGCCTGTGTGCTGGGAACAGATTTTCTAGGCACTGGCCTCCTACATGGCTCCTGTCTCCTGCCTGAGCCCCTGAATCAATAGCAGCGTTTTCCACATTCCAGCTCTTTCCCCCGGGGCCACCATTCCCTGCCTGCCCCTTGCCCTCTGGACAGCCTCAGGGGCCCTGGTCATTGGTCAGATGCGCCGGCTCCAGCAAAGAACGCATCAGGGCCTGCCGACATCCACGTTGTTTATCGTCACCCCAGGAGGGGAGGAGATGGGCCGTCACACGGACGAGAAAGATGGGGTGCTCTGCTCCGAGGCGCGCACTGGCAGCCCGGGAACAGGGTGGTTGCAGTAAAGGCTGTGGCCAGCGGGGGAGGCGGTTTCACAGTTAGCGTCGGAAGGTGGCAGAGGCAAGGCCAGAAGCAGTGATGGGAGGAGCAGTGGGAAGACAAACACCGCTTCCCGCCTGCAACAGAAATCAAGACCCACTGGGCACTCCGCCACAAGATGCGCTTTATACAACACGTTAAAAATGTCTCCAAATGGATTCTGAAGTCACCCCAGCCTCCCTTTCTCTAGGACGGGAAGAGGGGGTGACAGAGGTCCAGGACAAGGTGGGGCTCTGACCACCTCCTTGTCTGCACCTCTGGGACAGCAGGAAGGAGTGACCCAGGCCTCGCCGGGTCGTGTTCCCCTCAGGAAACCCCTCCCACTCCTCTGGCCAAGCTCCCCCAGCCACCGCAGCCAGGGAAGAGGTTCTAGAGGGAGCCCAGAGCCTCCCCAAACCGGATTTTCTGTCCTGCTTGCAGCTTAAAGTCGAAGTCCTTGGGGGCCTCAAAGATGAGCACGATGGTGGAGCCCAGGTTGAACTCGCCCAGGTGCTCGCCCTTGCGCATGGGGATGCCCGTCTTGTTGGCGTGGCTCACGAAGCTGAAGTCGTTGTAGGATCCCTTGCTGTAGCGCGGGCTGTTCGTGTGCAGGTCCTGGGGGGAAGGGGGGGGACACAGAGCCGTGAATCTGGGTCCCTAGACCCTGGGCACGCCTCTGCTCATCCCAATCCAAATCCAGACGGGCAGGCTGGGCCCCGAGAACTCGGGGGAGCAGCTCAGCCGCCAAGCCTGCGTGCAGGCGTCTCCCCATGGCTACCCGCAGGGCCTCTGCTTGCACCGGGAAGCCTAACAGCCCCACCCATCGGCCTTACCTGGTCGAAGTAGATTCGGATGGAGCCCACGTTGGTGGCACCCACGGCTGTGAGCGAGAAGAAGCCGTGCTTCCAGTCGCCTGTCAGCACCACCCGCTCGTTGTGGCAGAAGAGCTCTTTGATCCAGCGAGCCATGCCAGGGTTCACGGACATCAGGGAGCCTGTGGGTCAGGGACATTGAAGGACCAGAGCAGATAACGCCAGCCTCAGAACCCAAAGAAGTGCAGGGCCCTCAAGGAGCCCCGGGCATACCTGGGAAGTGGCGCCGGTGGGACACGGTCCAGTCGGTGGGGGAGTGGAAGCAGTGGTAGTCGCCGGGGGCCAGGTAGATAACGCAGTGGTACAGCTCGTTCCCTTCTCGGGTCACCAGCTGGCTCCTGAAGGAGTCGCAGGAGGTAGCTGGGGGGGGCAGGCACAGGGGCCAGGCTCTCAGACGGGGACCCCGTGCCGAGCACAGCCTGCAGAGGGTCTGTCTGGGCGCGGGCTCCTGGTCAGCCCTCGCAGGGCAGCAAGGACGTACCTGGCGGGAAGGGCAGGTCGTCGGAGGAAGTGCGCGGGCCCAGGAACGACTCCAGGGAGTAGGTGACCCCCTTTACCTGCTCCACCTCACTGTTCTTCACCTGCCCGAAGTTGAGGATCTTGCCATCCGAAGGGCTGATCTGGAAGGGAGAGACCAGCCACTAGAGGGGCCCGCGCGCCGGCCTGGTTTCCAGGGAAGGAGGGAAGCAGGCGGGCCTCACCACACTGTGCAGCCCACACACGGGCCGGGCCTGCGGCTTCAGCTTGCGCCGGAAGAACTCGCTAAGGTTGCGGTAGTGGTGTAGGTCCTCCACGGCGGCCTCCTTCATGTTCACCCCAAAGGTCCAGATGTACAGGCTGTAGACGGGCCGCCGCAGCCAGTACGGCAGCTCCACCTGGTTGAGGCGGCCCCAGGCCCGGGACAGCAGGCGAGTTGGTACTGACTTGTACAACGCCACCTGCAGACCACGGACAAGTCAGTCACCTGCCCTGCGAGCGTCCCGCGAGCGTCCCCTGATGTGTGCTTTGTGATGTGGCTGCTCACTAGAAACCAGACTGAGCAGGCCAGGTGCCCTCACACACGAGCGCTGGCCGAGACAAGGGTGGACTCGCACCCCAGGGGTTCCGGTCATCTTGAGACCAAAAGGAACCCCCTGTTCTGGGGAGGGGACGGGGGCATGGATAGATGATACTGCCAGGGGACTCAGGGCGGGAGTAGGGCTGTGCCCTGGGCCAGAGCAGGATGCAGCCTTCAGTACACAGCCACCCCCATCTGCTGACACCGTGGCTGTCACCCACAGCTTCCTGTGGATACCTGGGCTTCCTCCAGGAGGCCAGGGGAACCGACTCTCTGGGGCCCTTTCATTCAAGCCTCTGGGCCAGGTGCCTGGAGCAACTGAGGATAAGCCATGGCAGGGGACGAACCCCAAGCCCCACTCCTGGGGTCCTGGGGGCTCCCTGCAGAGCCACTCCTGAAACCTCAGGGGCTTCTGTCAGTAACTGCTGCTTGTCTAACCACAAGAGACCAAGTCCCTCAAGCGTGAAAATCATTTCCGCACTGAATCAGAGGTCCCAGACACCCTGGGAGACGCAGGCGGCCCGGGTCTACTGCCCAGTGCGCTCAGAGCAGCGTGAAGAGCCCAGGGCCAGGGACGGAAAGGCTCTGGGACGTGGCGCAGCCAGGCTGCTCCTGCCCCCCCCCCCCCCCCCGACCCCATACAGGTGTGAACATGGCTTTGCCCCCAAACCTGCCCCAAGTTCCCTTCTGGGTGGACACAGCCAGTCAGAGACACCAGTTCCGGGAGGGGGTCCGCCTGGACGCAGCGCCCCCAGAGCCACCACCCCGGGTCCTGCAGCCTGCACTTACCCGGCTCACGGGCCTCCATCCCACCCGGCTGAGCGGGCGGAGGGCGCCCAGGGGCAGGAGGTAGTAGAGCACGGTCAGGGGCCACGAGCGCAGTTTCAGGGCAGGTCTGGACATGCAGCTCAACTGTCCCAGCCTCCGCCTCAGGGCCAGCTGGGGGAAGTGCAACCTGTGGGCATAGGTCCACGATGTCCAGTCACCCCGGGCAGTACCAGGCCCGTCTGCCCCTGCCTCCGTAGAACACGGCAGCTCTGGCCAGCGGCTGGGCAGCAGCTAAGACCAAACGAGCCCCGGGGGCCCCCCAGGGCAGAAGACCCCAAGAGCCCAGCAGGACAAGTCAGAGCAAGCACCTACGTCACAGCCCCTGCCCTCCTGCGCCAGGACGGCCCACACAGGCGCTGGGGTGCGTGTCGGGGCCCCCAAAAGCCGCACAGCAGAGGTGAGCGATGGCTATGGAAAGAAACGGGACAACCGCACCATGGCTCCAGGCGTCACTTGCTAAGGCAAGGGACTGGGCCAGATCCCACTGCAAAGGGGAAGCACACACACGCCTGCACATGTGCAGACATATGTACACAGCCACGCACACCCCTCACAGCTCCTCCTCATCCACCTGCACCGCTTCCACGGGGTGTCGGGTGTGGGGGCGGGGGGAGGCCCAGGCCGGCCTAAGCACCAGCATCCTGTCGCCCAGGGCACAAGCAGAGTCAAGCGGCCCGTAACACTCTCTCAGGAGACCACACTGCCACCCACTCCAAGACCGTCTCCAGGCCTCTGTTTTGTTCATCTGCAAAGAACTGCATTCAATGGGACAATCTAAGGCCCCCATCTGTGCTGGGCACCCTCTGCCCTCCGCTGCCTAGCAAACAGGAACAAAGAGGCATCTCAGCTGATACTAATGGCAGAAAAAAAATGGAGAAGTGAGCGGCTGGCCAGGCCCTGCAGGCCACTGCCGGCCACAGACGGTGGCCCCCTGCGCCCCAACTGCGCCCGCTTTGCTCCCATTCCACCCGGGTGCGTCTCCAAAGGTCTGAGGGTATAGGGGGCAAGCGTTGCCCGCTGCCCCCACCCCGCCGCCACCCCCAGCTAGCTGCCGGCAGAAGCCCAGGGACCAATCCTGGAAAGGCTGCACCCCCACAGCGGAGGCAGGGGCGCGGGGAGCGCGCAGCAGCCGGGGTGCGGCACCAGCCCCTGGGAACCGCAGGTACCTGAAACGGGCTCTCCGGCTCAGGCCCCCGGGGCCGGGCCCCTCCAGCCGCGGGGGCTGATCCCCTGGCCCCCGGCTGCCGGCTCCACCGCCACCTCGGGGCCGTTGGATGTGCACTCTGACCTTCCGGAGGTCCACGCGGGGCACCGCGGGGTTAGGGTGCGGCTGGCAGCATCTCACCATTTCGCCGCGCGGAGCTCCGGTCCTCGGCGAGCCTCTGACTGACACATGGTGGGCGGTGCCAGGCGCACTCGCCTTTGTTTCTCTCCTTCCTCCCTTCCCCCCAGCCGCAGGCAGCTCCTGCGCGTCACTGCTCCAGGCTGGCTCCGGGCCACCTGGGGGCCGAGGCCCAGGCCCCTCTAGGCTCCTCCGCGGCGGGCGGCGCAGGTGCACAGGTTACCGGTCGGGGCTATTACAAAGACAGGCTCGCGTCACACACCTGCCCCTGCCCTTGGCCCACTGGACCCGGGTCTGGCCATCTGCCCGCCCCACGGGTCGATGGCAGGGAGGGCCCAGGCGCCTCTGGGTCCAAGGCACGCAGGCGGCGGGAATCCGAGCTGGGGCGCCAGGGGCCCCTCCCGCCAGCACCTGACCCATTTCTCGGGGACCAAGGAGCATCTCTCCGCGGGCCCGGGAGGTTGGTCAGGAGCCCACAACCATCCCCGGTGTTTGGGGTGTTTGGGTGTTTGGAGGTGGGGCCCAGGGCCCAGAGCAGGCCCTCCCCTCCGCCCCGCTCACAGCAGCTCCTGCACAGAGGGCCAAGGTACCCTACCTGCCCTCAGGGAGGTCCGACAGGCCCCCACAGAGGAACCTGCCCCATCACTGCCACGCCCCAAGAGCAGCTCCCAGGGCAGAGCGGCGGAGGCCCCTGCTCTGTCGCCGTCCACACACACAGGTGGCAAGCTGGTTGCCCACGACCCATGGCTGACCCCCTGAGGGTCTCACGGGCCACTTCCCCACCAAGGGCCAAGTCCTGACCCTGCCCACAGCCCCGCCCCTGCTCCTGCTCCCAGCCTGTCCCTCCCCAAGAGCTGGGGCATATGGGGAAACAGGCCCATCAGGTGGTGCTGGAGCCCCCTCTCCCGCCAGGTCCTTCCCTCAGCTACCAAGTGGAGTGGGCCGCTGAAGCCTGTCAAAAAGGGTGAGGCTGGAGCCACAGCACAGTGGGTAGGGCGTTTGCCTCGCACGCGGCCAACCCGGGTTCGGTTCTCAGCATCCCATATAGTCCCGTGAGCACCGCCAGGAATAATTCCTCAGTGCAGAGCCAGGAGTAACCCCTGTGCATAAGCAAACTGCAGGGTGTGACCCAAAAAGCAAACAAAACAAAACAAAACAAAACAAAAAACGGTCTTCAGAGCCCCAGAAACCTCAGTTCCTGCCAGGGGATTCCCACATGCTCCTTTGCACTGCATCCCCACCAAGGGGATGTCCAGACCGGGCCAGCCCTCCCTGTCCTCCCCAAAGGGACAGAACCCCAGGGGGACCCGAACAAGCAGCTATCCTAGGAGTGCTGTCCATAGGCCCAGGCAATAGTGTACGAGGCCGGCGCGGTTCAGTCCCCGCCACATCACAGGGGCCCCTTAGCACCGCCTAGTACAGGCCCTGCCCCCGAGGTCTACAAGAGAAAATGGAAAAAAATTTAAAAAAGCAACAAACTGGCCACAGGGATCAGCGTGACAGCACAGCAGGTAGGACTCTGGCCTTGCGCGCTGCTGACCTGGGTTCAATCTCCAGCTTCAGAGGTAACACCCCAAGTTCCACCAGGAATGACCAGAGAGCAGAGAGCCAGGAGTAAACCCTAAGCATTGACAGATGTGACACAAAAGCAGAAAGATTCAAAGACAGAAAAGCAAGCAATCAAGCAAGAGAGAAGGCAGAGAGGGAGGGAGAGAGGAAGCGGACGGCCTCACCCTGCAGGCCTGCCAACTTTCTTCTCTAAAACAGGGCCTAGCAGGGCGACAGTACGGGGATAAATAAGGCAATCAACCCGGACTCGATAGTGATTCCTGAGTACAGAACCAGGAGTAAGTCCTGAGCACTGCCAGGTGTGACCCCAAAACAAAACAACAACAAAAATAGAACAGGGCATAGCAGGGTGTCAAGGTGCTTGCCATCACCCCTAAGGGGAAGGGGGAGGCGGCTGATCTCAGTGGTCACTGCCCTCTGACCCAAGCCTGCGGGGGAAGAGTCAGTCCCAGATTAGGAAGCTGCCCAACGCGGATGGGACCCAAGAGAGGGGACACATGGCCACCTTCCCTTTCTCTGCTGTAAAGGGCAGTTAGGAGGCGAGTTCTGATGTGTAACCAGAAACTTGAGAGCTGCCACACGGCTGAGGGAGCACTGGGAAGGGACACCAAGGATGTGGGATTGGGGAGTACTGGGGATGGCGGACCTTGGACTACATTGCTGCAGTTCCCACAGGGGGGCCCTGCAATTACACGTCCCCCCACCCAGTCTCTCCATTCTCACAGTGGCAAGTGTCTCTCCTGCCCCTCAAGGCTCAGATCATAGTCATGACAAGGCTGACACTTTTCCTCCTAGCCACCTGTTCAGACCCCAGAAATGCGAACTTGGAATGCCAGTACCGTCCAGAAACACCCCATATTCAGGTGTGTGACCCCTCGTGGGGGGGACCCCAGTTTAAGAAGCTCAGGCCAGAACACTTCTGCAGCCTCATTCCTACTCCCTCTCACTCCCACACTGCAGAGCACAGGGCTTTGCTGCTGCCACGGGAAAGTGGGGACACAGGTGGAGGAAGCCCACGGTGGCTGCCCCAAGAAAGAAGGGTTCGGGCATGGGGGGGGGGAGGAGAAGCCCTGTTCTCGGGAGGACTGGTGAGAGCTGCAGCAGCCTCTTCACCCCTCACCCCCACTTCCCTTGTGAGGGAGACAAAACCCCCTTTACCAGAACGGAACATTCCAACTGAAGTTGTTAAAAAAAAAATAGCTCAAAATGGAGTCACCTGTGCCAAGCCCAGGCTGCATCTCCAAACCAAGATTAATCTCTACTTCGATTGCAGCTTCAGCCCTTCCCAGGAACATCATCCTGACTGGTCAACGAAAGCAGCCCGTGAGGCTAAGACCCAAGACGGCTCCCCAAAGGAAGGCTAAAGAAACAAAACCAACAGCTGAAAAGACGGCCCCCACCCTCTATCTGCCGCGAAGGATCTTCACTTGGAGCCACGGAGACAGCACAAGTGCCGAGCAAGCGCGAGACCCTGAATTTGATCCCTGGCTGGCAGGTACGATGCCTACACTAAAAATAAACCTTTGTTTGGTACGACCCTGTGAGCACCGTCCTGCAGTAGCCCGGGAAAGGTGGCTCCACTCACGGATCGGCTAACAAAGTCAAGCACAGCTTTACGCTGACTTGTCCGAACCCCCCCCCCGTTTTTTTTTTAATTGAGGTACTATTATTACAAGGCTATTCATGTGAATTACAAAGTAATTCACAATCCCAGGTATGTAGTTTCCTAACACCAGTCCCATCCACAGTATCAGGGATCACTCCTGACAAGGCTCAGGGCTATATGGGGTGCTGGGGATCAAACTCGGTTGGCTGCAGGAGGCAAGTGCCCAACTGCTGTATCACCCCTCCAGCTGAGAGCAGGGTGCACGTGCCTGGGACTGCAGCTCAGTGAGTGCAGGGAGGAAGCGGGAAGGGAGGGGGCACTCCCACACACACTGGCCTCCCCCTGCCCTGCCCCCAGCCCTGCTCACAGCTCAGGAGCAGTGTCACTGGGGCCTTGGCAGATCCTTCACACACACCCCCACCCCACTAAGGCACGTAGATCCGGTCTCTGCATGGACTTCTGCGAACATGGCCCCCTGAAAGGGTGGGGGGCCGCAGCATCCGGGAGGTCTACCACGCCCTACTCAGGGGATGGAGGGGAGCTGGGCTCCAGCTGCAGGAGGAGGGAAGGGGAAGCAGAGGGCGGGTGGGGGGGTGGAGAGGAGACAGGCTGGGTCTTCCTGGACAATCCCTGGCACTAGCTTTGCAAAGGGCGCTGTGCCACCCTCTCCCCGCCCTCGGGAGGGGACATGAGCGTTCCAGTGACCAGCGGGAGTGCTTCCCTCCCTCAGTGCCTCCCCCCCTTCTCCCGCACCCCCTCCCTGGAAATGGCCCAGGGCCTCGGCTCAGGGGGGACAAGGCCAGCACTTCCCTCTTCCTGGCTGGGAGGCGATGCTAAGAGAGGTGGAGGAAGTGAGCTCATGCGGCCCGGCCCCGTGACCCACATGGCAGACAGAGGCCACAACCTGATCCACAAGCTGGGGTGGGCTCCGGAGGCTCGAGTCAGCGATGCCCCGACCGCAGGGACCTGTTCCCCCCCGCCCCAGGAAGCAGGCTGGGGCCCGGCCAGTCGGGGCGGCTCGGCAGAAGCTCGGGGTCGGCCAGCCCGCACCCAACGGACACACTCACCGGCAGGTGGTCCGCGGCGCTGCTTCCGCCCCGGCGGCCGGCGGCGAATCTCCCGCAGGCGCCGCCTCGGAAGTCCCGGGAGGGTGGGCGGGGCGGGGCCGGGCTCAGCCACTCCCGGGGGCGGGGCCGCAGCCGCACCAGCTTCCCAGCCCCACCCCATCGGCCGACCTCGGGGCCACCCCTGGGGCACGGTGGGGGCCACCATGTGGTGTGACCTGACCAACGACCAGGGCTTCTCCAGGGCCACCTCCGGTCACCTATTCTAGCCATTGAAGGGCAAAGAAGGCATCAAAGTCCTTGCTCGGGTCCACATTCCACCGTGACCATGCGGGCGCCCCACCCCCCTCCACTAGCCCACACCTCAACAATCCAAGGTCCCTGGTCTAAGCCCCCAAACAGGCCCCTGCTGGCAGAGTCCACACCCTGCCGGCAATGGGGGTTCATGAGCTTAAGACCAAGCATGCTCCTGGAGACCACCTGCGGACTGGACGGCACGCAAGGCGCTTGCCTTGCACACAGTAGTCTTGGGGGGGGGGGGGGTCGGTCCCTGAGACCCACATGGTCACCTGAGCACCTCCAGGGCTGATGCCTGAGCAGGGTCAGGACCAAGCTACGAGCATGGCTGGGTGTGGCTACAACTGAAGCAAAAAAGAAAGTTTCTGTCCTCCCACTGGACAGTGCAGGAGGCTTGGGGGGATGGTACCCTAACCTCGGGCCCACCAAGCACTCAGTCAACGTGGGATTGAATAAACCAGCTTGACTTTTTTTTTTTTGCTTTTTAGGTCACACCCAGCAATGCACAGGGCTAACTCCTGGCTTTGCACTCAGGAATTACAGCTGTGCTGGAGGACCATATGGGATGCTGGGAATCAAACCCGGTTGGCCTAGTGCTATGCAAACGCCCTACCCGCTATGCTATCTCTCCAGTCCACCAGCTTAACTTTTTAAACTTACTGTTTCAAGGGCCTCACCCCAGGGAACCAATGCAGTGCCAGGGGTCAAACTGAGCCTTGCATATTCTAGGTATTTGCACTACTACTTGAGCTATTATCCTGGCCCTCAATTTTTGCTTTTTTTTAAAATTCCTTTTGGTTTTCGGGACCATCCCCCACTGTGCTCAGGGGCTATTCCAGCTGTGTCAGGAGTGAAGCCAGGTGGTGCTGTGGGACCACATGTGGCGGTGGGGTTGTGACTAGGTCAGCTGCCTGAAAGGCAAACGCCTTTGTCCTGTTCTACCTTTCCAGGCCCCCAGCTTACCAGCATGTTTTCTGGCAGGGAGAAGGCGAGCCAGGAATGCCGCCTGGCCAAAGAAGGGCTCACACTTGGAGCCTGATAGGCATCTGTGGGATGGGCCAAGCCGGCATCCTGGCCACAGTCACACTGCCCTGGTCTTCTCAGGGCTACAGTTGAGGAAATACACATGCCCAGCTTCCAATGACCACTGAGAACTTAGCTTTGAAGAACAAACGTTTAGAGCAGAAGGAGATGGTCTGAAGAGCGCACACAGGGGTTAAGGTACTTGCTTGTGGCTGACCACATTCGATTCCCGGCCCCACATACAGTCCCTCTGAGGGGAAGATGGGTAGGGTCCTACATCCTACCTCAAGATCCCATGAAATGCAGCACCTTAATGCACTCAACTAGACAAGGGGCAGGAGTGAGCTCAGGTTTGGGCAGAGGCTAGTGAATTCCTTTCACAGGAGCTGCCCCTCATTCTCCTGGCTTGGGACCACTGTGCCCAGTGAGACTTTGGGTACCTTTTCACAGCTCCAAGCAATCAAGCATGAGATGGGATACAATAAATAAATTGCTGCCAAGGAACCTGAGAGATTGTACAGGGGTTAAGGCACTTCTCTTGCATGCCTCTGATCCAGGTTTGCTTCCTAGTACTGCATATGGTCTCCTGAGCACTGCCAGGAATGGTCCCTGAACATATCCAGAAGCAAGATCTGAGCACTGCTAGCTGTAGCCCAAACTCTCCCCTGTCCCCCCAAAGAGTTGTTAGAGGTGTTGAGGTAAGAATACTAAAAACTCAAACATTACTATAACCATGTTAGCTAAACCATGTTTTAAAGTTACATATTTTTTTTTCGCTTTTTGGGGTCATACCCGGCGATGCACAGGGGTTACTCCTGGCTCTGCACTCAGGAATTACTCCTGGCAGTGCTTAGGGGACCATATGGGATGCTGGGAATCAAACCCAGGACGGCCGCATGCACGGCAAACGCCCTACCCGCTGTGCTCTCTCTCCAGCCCCTACAGTTACATTTTTTATTAATATATTTTAAATAACTATTAATAGTGATCTTAAAAGCTATTAATAGCCCTGAGTACTACCAGGATGGCCTTGGTGGTCCCCAGCCCCATGGAGCCCTCACTAGCACTAAACCACCTGCCCAACTGGCCAAGTATTGTTGGGCATGGCCCCTGCACTCCCTGAACATTGCCCTGAGCTCAATTTCCAGTACAACATGATCCCCGAGTACAGCCAGATATGGCCCCGGAGGCCACCAGAACCACAAGGCTACCCTGGTAATCTGTGGCACATCATATTCTCCGGTCCTTTGGCCCAGGGGTCTCCTGAGCACTGCTCGAGAAGGCCTCCTCCCCTAAAAAAAACTAAGTAAGCTGCCAATGAACTGAGGAGCTGGCTCAAAGGCTAAACGCACGCTCTGCATGCAGGGACCCTGGGTTAAAAGTAGTGCATGGTCCCCTGAACAGAGCCAGGAGCAACCCTGAGTAGGGAGTAGCCCAGGCCACCATGGGATGTGGCTCCAAACCCAAACAACAAAATGGTAAGGTTAAGGGGGAGGGAGACACAGTACATTAAGTAGGACACATGCTTGAGTGCATGACCCAGGCTCAATCACAGCACCCCACATCACTTTGAGCCCTACCAGGAGTGATCCCAGAATGCAGAGTCAGGAATAAAACCTTAGCACTGCCAAGTATGGCCCCAAATCAAACAAAACAACAGCATCAACAAAAACAAAAGGAAAAGAAAAAAGAAAAGTTAACACAAAAGAAAATACTGACACAGAATCCTAGAATATGCCACCATTTCAGAACCAGAAAGATCCTAAAGACTCCACAACAGACTACACAGAACAAAACCTGCTCACATTAAAACAAAACCTGCTCACATTAAGTCAGACGGGTGGTTTGATGGGCAGGAGATGGACTGGGCATCAAAACTCCATGTTCTTGTTGCTGTGTGGCTTCCCAAGCACCAATCCTCTCCCCAGTGCAAGAGCCCAGAGGGGCACTGAAAAAACTCCAAGCCCAGCAGGCAGATCCGCCCTGAGATAAGCCCTCTTCACCTCTCAGCCTCCACCAATTCCAGTAGGGAGGTGCCTTTTGTATTCCGAACAATAGTTCACAAACAGTTTCTGGGAAAAAAGAAGACTTCCCCACCTCCACCCCCCAACTTCCCTTCACCCAGAAGAGGTCCCCTCGGGCCAAACTGAGCCCTTCAGTTCCCCCCGCCCTGAGCGGGAGCGCCACCTAGTGCCACCGCAGGGCTCTGCAGGCTGTCCTCACTGCTGCTCCCTCCCAAGTGAATTCCATACCCATCTCCAAAAGGCCCCGTGCCAGGGGACAGAGTTGCCACCCGCCAAGGCGGCAGTTGCTCTCCAATTCTCGTTTCCCAGGAGTCAGTGGAGGCCCCTCGAGGAAAGCGGTGACTGGGTGCAGGCCGAGCTCACGGCAAGGTACCCAGGCGACAGCTGATTCCCCACCTCAGATGAGGCTGTGCCTCGGCCCACACAGGGCCCCACGGCATCTCGGAAACCCCCTGCCCTGGAGAGACCCCGCAGAAGCTCTGAGGTGGGGCAGGCCCAGAGTTTCCCCCGGGGCCCTGACCGCTTCTGAGCCAGTCACCCTGGACTCCTCCCAGCAAGTCCATCCTTGTCAGGTCCCACACCTCCAGGTAGTCTGCAGCACACTGAGGCCACACACTCAAAGCCATGGGAAGCAGGGTAGGGGAGCTGGGGGCGGGGACTGTTACTCCCCACTTAGAGAGGGATCCTGCATTCTGCTCCTTGGGGAGCAGATCCTGCTTCTCTGCCTGAGAACCTACTTGCCCCCTCCCCTCCTTATTTACTGCGGCGCTGGGAATGGAACCAGGCAGATGCTCCACCACTGAGTTCCATCCTGACCTGCAGCAACCCGTTTCTAAACATCCACTGCAGTCCTCTTGGTTTCCTTGAGCTAAGGAGCCAGTCCTCAAGGAATCCTATGTTCCGCCAGAGTGGGACCAGGCCATGACACGCATGATTCTCGTTTAACAGCTTCACCAGGGAGTTAACAGCAGCTTATCTGGGGGTGAGAGTAACCAAGCTATAATCACTCTATAAAGTTTAAAAACATGCAGATACATCTGCTCCTGTCCAGGGTCAGACACACTGGAACATCCAGGAACATGCTGGACCAGCCACAGGACTCACACTGGGCAGGGTCCTGACTTCTTAGGCCACAGAGTCAGTGTGAATCCTCATCTCTATTCCTTTTTAGGGAGCAGAGAGTTGCACCATACGGCCCCCAGGAATCCTGAGGTGACTGGCTGGAGCAACAGTACAGTTGGCAGGGCATTTGCCTTGCACATAAGCTAACCTTGGTTCAATCCCAGCACCAAAGATGCTCCCTGAGCACCACTCAGAGTGACCCCAGCACACACTCAGGAGCAGCCCCCAAGCACCACCGGTTGTTACCCATAACCGCCCACCCACCCACCCACCCCAACCCTAAACTGAGAGAGAACAAGGAACTGAAGCTGATTCAGAGAAAGTTTGTGGGTGCAACTCCAGCTGTTCCCCAAACTCCTCAGACCTCACCACAACCCCCCCCCCCCCCCCCCCCGCTGGGCCCAAACCTAACCAAACAGCGTGTTTACACTCAGATGTGTACTGACATAGTTAGGGGCGATGTTTCACAATGTCTGCAATGTATTTTCAACTGATTCAGAGAATACTAAAACTATCCACATAGAAAGGAGCCCAGGAGATGGCTGGGTGCCTTACAGGGCTGCGTGCTGCACGCAGGCCCTGTGCAAGCCCAGCACCACCACATGTGCCCA